GTAAGTGGAGGGATCGCTGGACGCAGGCTGTCAGCCTGTCAGAATACACCAGTGATCCTACTAAGATCAGATGATTGGTACAAATCAAGTTTGGGACTTCTCAACTCCATAAGAAACATAATAGTTTGAAAGACGTTATGATTAACATTTTATGTCTAAGGGAAGCTTCAAGCCCTTCAGATATGATTTAGACATGATTTTATGTCTCGAACATGAACATTATTAAGATAGCAAAACATATAACTGTACTCTTCTTCTAGACTTTTTCAATTTTTCCAGGCCTTTTGATCATGAAATATGATCCTCTATGCAAGCGTTTATAAGACATTTTTATCACATTGCTCATAATATTTCCTCACTGCGGATTTGAGATCCACTACGTAGAAGCAGTTGTCAGGTCAGTCAAACCCAGTTGAAAGCTTTGGATGATCTTTTGGGAAAGCACTGCCTTACATAACAAATTTTATACAGTTGGTAAATAGCCAGTTTAGTCATCTTTACAGAAGGTTGGGTTCATTGTTATTAAACAACAACAACAAAGCCTCTATCCTAAATTTCAAGTCTGCTGGGTTCACTTTTATTTGACGGATAGAAAAGTCTCTTCAGAGGTTGGCAGGTTCCAGGGCTTCTCTAAATAGTATATCGAGTTATATATCAGAATAAAAATGTTGAAGGTATGCTACATACATATACTGCTAGGGATTTAGAATGAGAATATGAATTATGAAGCATCCAGCTAACTTGACTTGTTGCCATGCTCATATATCGTATACTTCAAAAATCATGCATAAAACAGACTCAAATGCAAATCCACAATTCTATTGTGGTATTGTGCACCTCATATTATGCAATAGTTCTATGGAAAAGCAAATGTAAAGTGGAAATTTCCATGGGACACAAAATGAAAATGAACTTCTGGTCCATGTCACAACAGAAGTTCAATATTTTAATAGAAGTGTTGGCAGAGAAACAAACCTCGAGGCATCCTCCATCAGCAATCACAAAGCCAACGACCTTTGCCTTTTTAAGTTTAGGCAAGACTTCTCTGATATAAAAACTGGGTGCGGCTGAGCGTCTAAGTGATAATATGGGGAACTTGTTCTTCTTCCTATCTTCCTTCAGATCATTTGGCAAACTCTTCACAACAACAACATCGTTTGAGAGTGCTGCTATAAACTGCTCCTCATTGTAAAGATATGAGAAACTCTTAAATTTGGAAAGCGGACCTTTAGCTTGGATTCCAAAATAACTGACACAATAAGTGTTTATTAAAGGAATTCTTAAGGTTTCACCTGACGGCTTTTGACCGAAGGCTTTCTTGAATCTCAGGAATGACAAGGGTAGCATTTAACAGCCTGGAAATGGCGACAACATCACAGATCTATAATAAAGAAACATGTCATAATCTAATCATATAACAGTAGGCTAAAACGAAAATTGAGAAGAAAAGACTAGGCAAACATCAAAAGACCTACTGAAGATCTGATCTTATCAAATCCACCATAAATCTTCACGTATATGAAACGATTCTGCTTCCTCGGAACTGTTACATAGAAAATAATAAAATTAATGCTACACTAGACTTAAGCTACACAAATAAAATGTAGATGCCAATAGGGGAAAAAGAGAAGAACAAACATCATTTTTCAATTGGGGTTATGGCTCCATTTTTTTTCAACCTCATATGTGACATTGCTCATGGGATTTTCACTTGATAAATTATATTTCCCAAGGGTAGCAAACAATTTAATCAATCTTAATGTGGTTTCATCCCTATTTAACATAAGAACTTGTGATTTACATCTACATCTATAAGTACACTTTGGTTAGATGCACACCTAGTGAGATTAGTCTTTTATCAGTTCTCGCTACAACCAAGTATGCAGCAAGAATGAAATACATGTAACGATGTTGCTTTTGTTTACAGACAAACCTTTCTAAAGAACTTAGACAAAAAAGTACTAAGAGAAGAGATGTTACATAGTTATGGTGTTTGGCATTTCAAAAACTGAAAATGAATTAACATTCAAATAGATTTGTTTAAAAGATATTAGATAAGAATGCATTCTACCAAGTCAGAAAATATTCATATGAATAGCTTGATAGATAAAAAGAAATATGAAGTCACTTAGAGCCAGATAACTCGAGGATCATGAGAGGAAAATAATGGAGGGCCATGAGCGTGGCCAATTAACTTCTGAGGTTGAAAGAAGCTAGAAAACCAAGCTTCTCTAGGGCTATCGAGCTCTGATTGCCCCTCTGGATCCCAATTTGAGTCGTTGAATCAATCCAGCTTTGAGAGAATTGACCAACTACAGAGAATAAGAAAAGAATTCATGAACAGAGAAGAGTTTTGGGTTTTATTTCAGAATTCAGTTAGGGGAGATGAGCAGTGCTCTTCCTTCTTTATACTTTCAGTTCGTTGTGAAGCCAACTACTAACAACCCACTACTGCCACATTGCAGCATCCTACTAACTCTTGAAGCACTCAGTCCATGTGGCATACATCAAATGCATTACTAATGCATTTAAAGTCGTTCTCAAGAAGAACATTTACCAAAGACCCCCTTAACATCACAAAAGAACCCTTCCTGTTCTATTTATCTTCACGTATCTTCCCATGCATGTTGCAATTAAACCAAAACTTGCAACTCGATCCCTTGAAAATTTTGTACATCTTCAATTACTCTTGCAGCTTTCAGCAGTCAACAGAGGACCTTTACCCAACCCCAGCAGCCTCAACCATGGAGTATCTAGTAGTTTCTCAGACAGCTTTTGACTTGCATTTTCCACTTTCCAAAATCAATTCAATTACCAAGCATCCAATTTTGTCAAATTCTACCTGATTGCTTTAAAAGATGTGAAAAACACTCATTATAAGCAATGTCAGACATACCTAATGGAGGACGAATTGAAGGATTATCTCCGGAGCAGATGGAAGTAGATAAAACTGTTAGTTTACATTTTAGATATGATTTTATCTTCTAGGATTTTAGATAAAATGTTTGGTTTTATCTTGTATTAGGGAGTTATCTAGACTTGTAGAAACTTAATTTGTATAGATATAGGACTCCAACTCCAGTTAAGGAGTTATGGATTTCATTGTCTTAGCTGAGGAAATAGAAGTTGAAAAGTTTAGCTTCAGTTACTAGTTGGCATGTGATTTTCCCGGGCGTAGCATCTGTGTGACACTGACTTAAATGCCTGTGTGATTTCAGACTAGCCACAAGTTTATCCTTTGTTTCTTTATTTGTATTATATCCATAGACCAAAATCTCCTGAAATCAACCCCCTCATCTGTTTCCAATTCCAAAATAAATAAATAAATAAACCAATCTTTCCCGAAAGCCCGTGACTTCCTTATTGTTGCTTCTCTTCGTCCATAAAAGACAAAATAAGTTTAGCGCAAAATCCCCATTCAGCCCAAACAACAAACAACACTGGGGAAAAAAGGAAAGGTAATTGTTCATCTTGTTCCCCTCATTCTTCTTCTGAATCCAAAATCTAACAAACGTGTGAACAACTTCAGCAACACTCCAGCCTTGTCATGCTGTCAGATTTTTTGCATGTTTTCTGCCTGAGCTCGATAATGCACCCAGAACCCAATATCCGCAAAGTTGGCATGTATTAGTGAACACCGCATTTATGTAGAGTATTGAAGGATAACCCGCATTTGTCGTCACATAAACAAATTCACCATTCAAGTACTTACGGAGTGCTTCAAGCTTTTCTAGCAGCCTAGCCCAGTATTTATAATTATAACCATTCTCCAAATTATGTACAGAAAACACAAGTTTGCAACTTCTTTACCGAGCTTTTCAGTTAAGATCCTATCTTGCATGGGTATAGAGGTAGGGGTACGAGACACAGCAAATTTGTAAAATATAGGGTATGGGGAAACGGCTATATAAATACTTATACACAGATATACTATATATTGGAATTAATAATTTAAATGAAGACAAGGATGAGAATTAAATTTCCTATAACATTTTACATTTCTTTTCTTATGTGGATTATCAATTGGAAAATCACTAGTTTTTGAACTAGACATCCAAACAACCATTCAAAATATAACCCGGAACCTGATCTGTGTCCAATAACTTTCAAGAAGTGGATGTGAAGTGTAGGGTATATATCCAAAAAATGTATGACAATTGTTTAAATGAAAACATGAATTGTATAATTGAGTACAGGCTCAAATAAATGTATCCATGTATGCAAGGAGTGTCCAATAAGTTTGGGTACGGGTACGTGTTCGGTACCTGGTACGGGTACAGCTTCAAATTAGAAGTACCCAAGTAACATAGGCTAAGAAAGATGGAATTTAAAAAGATCGCTGTGTTTTCTACAAGAAAAGGCTGGACATATGAAAGCAATAGCCACCCTTTAACTGAATAACCACCTTTTCAAAAAGTCACATATTTAAGACTAATGTTTGTTTTTTTTCCCTGCTGTTTTTAGGCCCAAAAACAAATGTCGGCAACTATAAACATAGTAACAAATATAAAGAGGTGATAAAAAAAAATGACTATGGATATTGGATTATACCCAGACCCTTGGCGACTAAGATCTGCTTCAGCAAGACTGATGGCTAGACAACTTAATAGGAACCAGACCTGAGCTCATATAAGTCTGCTCAGAGCCTAGGCCAACCCATATTAAAGAGAGGCCAGTAACGGTGCTTCCGGGATATCAGGATTTTGTTGTGTACCTGATCATTAAGTGTAGACTTTGACAGTGAATTCCTTTAAAGCAAGATGAAGCTATTTTTTCTGAACAAGAAAGTTCACATGATTGGAATAGCCAACCCTCATGAATATTCAGCTTTGGAAGTAGTTTGCGTAGCATCAGTTTCCATTAATTATTTCACAATTAATCCACCGTACTCAGGAATTTAAGGTATGTTCTCCTGTGTTACATTATAATTGTTGAGTAAGTGAAGTTTGAGTAGTTCGATTTGTTTTGCACACCATTATTGTATTCTCGTTGAACTTCTATGATCATGCCAACCAACGGGAAACAAAACAAATGAAAGAATATGAGGACGTTATACCTGCATAAGTGCTCCTAGGGTTAGCATACGGTTGCAAGGGTTCCAAAGAGTTCACTGAACGCCAAAGCTTTCTATATTGCCCAATCTGGAACATCAATATCAAGAAACTAAGACAACTAAAAACAATGACCACACTCCCACCGCAAGTATCACCCTAAGAACCGCGTGTACGTGCACCAGGATTCAGTAAATTAACATTTACGGTATAGTAGAAGGGATAGCGGTGACAGTCATAATCCAAAAAAGTCTACCTTTCCAATCGAGTAAAAATCGTCCACATGCAATTTGTATGATACAAAGTCCCCGGTTGAATAGTCTGCAACAAGTAGGTGCACCAGCAAAGATAACACACATATAGCAATTCCCACAAGTGCACACAACTTGAACTTGCTCTTAAAAGCCATCTTATCCTGACCAATGTTTCATACCTAAGACAAAAAAGAACATTTAACAAATTAGAAAGCTAAAAGAAATTTTTTAAATAGAAAATAACTACTTTTAAAATAAATAAAAAATGACACATTACAATCATCATTATCATCTTTTAAACATTTTTAACTACAAGGACAACTCTTAATTGAGAAAGCTGAAAGTAAGGTTGACCAATGTGAGATCTACATCTACCTAAAAATGCAGTACAGTACTTAGAATGCTGAATCGAGTTCTGCTCTAATTCAGTTCTAAACAAGCTCCAAAGCTCGATTTCACAAAGATTACAAGAAAATTAACAGCATACGCGCTTCACTAGACTGCGATCCAAAGTACGAACCGATTCCAAACCCTAAGCAAGCTCCAATTCGCTCAGATCTCCACAAAATCGTTATCAATTGAAAGGGAATCGATCAAAGTCCTTACCGTTTGTGCTCAGATCCCCAACCAAGCGACAAAGATTCCAGATGCAACAAAACCCTAGGAATCGAGTCGGAGAGAGACTTGAGGAGGAAGTTTCGAGGATGAAGAATCTAAAACTGGAGACTTTTTTTTATGTGGAGATGAGAGAGTGGTGAGGTTGAAAAAACGTGGATTTAATAATGTTTGAGTTGCAGAGGTTCAGTCTTTTTTTTTTTTTTTTTTTTTCAGATGTGGGACAGAGTTTAGTGAGCGACTACGCGGGTGCAATCGAATCGAATATCGCACCATTCAAATTCATATTCGGTTCATATTGAAATATTCGAATTCGTTTTAGGACACTGGATCGGACTTTGATTCGGTTCGCTTGTGTATAGGGGTTTATTCGGTCCGGATACGTCTCAGATATGATGCTTATCATATCCGCTTACCCATTTCGAATACGGATACAGATACGGATATACATCGGTAAAAAAAAAATTATAGTCATATCCGTTAAATCGGATACAGATACGGATATACATGCGGATATATAAGCGGGTATGCATATAGATACAAAACAAATATGAGAAAACTAGAAAGTATTAAGAAAAATATAGTTCATGTGATACAAAACAGTTCGTTAATATGTTCATTATAACTGAAAAGTTAATATTAAATGTATTGATCATCAAAATTAACTATAATCCCATAATCTAATATCGAAACTATCATAAGAGTATGACTAATATGTATTCAGGTATTTCGGATACGGATACAAATATTTTACTACAAACTATATCCGTAACCATATACTATTGGTTATAAATTTAGATAATCATATTCGTATCCTAATAGATACAATTACAGATACTTCCTCGGATATGGATACGTTTTAGCGCCCTACAAGAAATTCATCGAAAGACAGCGATTTGCAAAATTTGTGAAGAGAGGCGTCACATCAGGGATGAAAAACCTAGGCCTTGAATTTAATATTTACCTGGGCCTGGGCTGTTTGGTAACGAGCAACATGGGCCTACACCATTAACTTGTGCATGTGAGCCTAGCTGTTTCAAGCTGTATGTAAAAGCACGCAAACTGTGGACTTATATTTACATTATGCGTTGCCTAGTTAACTTATTTACATGGGATTGAACGTGTAAAAGAAATTAGCAGTCAATGTTGTTTGCTATAAAGTTTATTTATAAATCTAAAATTTAAAATATAAATGAATGATTGATAACTGACCTAACTGACCGAATTGAATATACTTTTCGTCAAATTCTCTACTCAAATTATGAACCGAATGCTAATAATTGTTCATTTACTATTAAATAAATTGTCAAATCAAAGATAAATTTCAAAATATAGAAAAATAGTAAACAAACTGTTTATTAATTATTTGGTATATTTCCACCGCAGCAAATGTCTTGCCACCAGTATTAATGATAATATTCATTTATCTTTCCTTCACTTTTTTTTTATGTGATCAGTCATGAAAGAAGTTATTAGTAAGTTTAATAACCACAGTGTATATTTCATTTTCGCAGCATTGCAAACCAATTAGAATAGTGATAATAAGTAGATCGTTTGGTTCAACTACATCAAATTAGGAAATTTCAAAGAAATGGTATGGGTTATAATTAATAGCATCACTCTATTAGAGACGGATGTTCTCCTTAATGATTAAACTTCATAATATATTAATTGTGAGCGGGTTGTTCTGATAGCATATTGGGCATGCAATTACCAAACTACCCTCCCTATTTGTTTACGTGTGGATTAGAGTAGACACTCATGAGATATTAAGAGTCAAAGCTGATTGATTGTAAAAAAAAAAAAAAAACCGTTCGTTTAAATGTGGTTTGCCTATAAATTGACGATCAAATATAATTTTTATAAAATAACCTTATTTTAAAATTGATTTCTACGAAAAAGAACCTTTTACATTATGACCCTATTTTAAAATTGATTTCTAGGAAAAGAACCCTAAAACTAGCGACACTCTCCCCTCTCTCAAAAGAAAAATTCCTCAAGTACCCAAAATATGGGATTAATAGAGGGGACAAGTGAGGTGTCTCCCACCTATTGGATAATGAGTTGGTCATCATTAATGATGGCCAACTTATTATCCAATAGGAGGGAGACATCTCACTTGTCTCTTCTATTGGTCCCATATTTTGGGTCTCTGTAGCAAAGCTCCTCTCAAAATGATGCCTCGACTCCCTTCTTGCTTACAAAATCTCAAGTGACAGCGTCAGACCCTATCCCAAAAACCAAATCACAGCCTTTAGTCAAAAAATGATGGCCGTGGCCCAAGAGATCCAGAGTCTCTGACCACCAAACGTCTAAAGCCCAAAAGGTCAAACGTATTCAATTCCAAAGGAGTAGAAGGGAGTATAATAACTAATGAGGGAGCTTGAGTGTTCTCTCGCTCACACAAGAAAGATATCCGCTAACAAGTCAGCCAGAGAATCAATTGTCCTCCTCAGATTTCTAAAAATGATTTGGGTTACACAATGATTTTGCTTTGAGCTCTACTCCCACGCTCCCTTCACCGAACAAGGCATTCATAATTAAGTATCTAGCCTTTTTAAATCCCATACACACTAGACTTCGATGCAACCGCTAACCGCTAAGGGTCCGTTTGGTTCTCTGTTTTTGGGTGGGAAAGAACCCGAAAGCTGCTACAGATGAGACATCTGTGACAGCTTTCGAGCTCCTCCGAAACCAACCAAACAGACCCTAACTACGTCCCAAAACTTATCAGTTTCTTTTAAGGTAGAATATTTTACTATGGTTCTCTACACTTGATCTACTAATTATTGTACTCATCTATATACGCGTTAATTATATAATTATATGTTTTTTTGTTCTGTATATGAGCGGCAAGTTTATTGTTAGGCTTTTGGTTTGGTGTATAAGAATATATAGATTGTGACTTTAGATAATCTATAGCTATTAATTTGGACTATATATATGGTCTCCTCTTCTGTTACACTATAGATGCAATTTTTTTATATGCCAGCGTACAGAAAAACATGAACTTGGGATCGTTCTTTACAAAATTGTCATTAACCCTTGCCCTCATTATCACTAGAGACTTACGTAGTCTCTTTAGAAAGTGTACATATGTACTTCCGGGGGAAATGATAGTTTTCTAGAAATTCTACGATAAATTCCATATACAAAATAAGAGACTTGTGCATATCACTACAACAAAAGTTGAATGTGTCTATACTTATTTTATGACACATATAAAAATATCATTTTATTTGCAAAGGATTAAATAATAGTGATACAAAAAAAAGTGTGGCAAATCAACAATATTTTTTAAGGTAAAAACAGGGCGAGATGACCAATTCATATATCATTAAAAAACACTAACTTAATCTAGAGGTGAATAGTCTAAGAGTAGGAATGATCAAAATCATACCCAAGAATATGGAGAGGACCATAGTTGTCACTTATTACATAAGTGATACACATCACTACAAATATTTGTATCATTAGATACATAACCAAATATAATTGAAAAAAGTTAACCGTCCAATATGGACTATGTGATAATCTATTAATAGGCTTATATAAAAAATCCTAGATTTTAATTTTAACGATGATTAAATATTTACGATTATGATATTGTGTAAGCTAAACAACTTTATGGTTAAGTGTGCTTTGGTGAGAGTATTTATAGGATAGGTGACCTTCTAGGAAGTTATATGTTAGACCCTAATGCTACTAGAAAAGAACCCTAGAGGGAGGGTGAATAGGGTATATGCTAATCTAATCCGATTTAATGCTAATTAAAACTAATTAATAAATATCCCAGCAAATTAGATATGCAACAAGATATAGATGCAAGGATATACAAATAACACAATGGTGAAGCAAACAAATGTATAACAACATAGTGGGCAAACTAAATAACGAAACAATGACGATATGAGCAATGAGCACAAATATAAATGAACGTCAATGCAAACTCAAACATAACCAAATGATCACGGAGTTCGGACCTTTCGTTCTACGTCTCCGTTCCCCACTCCCGGGGAGAAATCCACTATCACACCGGGTTTTCAATGCTCACCCGAAAATGTTTACACCTCACACTCAATTTTCTAGCTCACCGAAAACTTTACAATCAATACTCTTGCAATCCCACTCTACACCCTCTAAGTATTAGTCTCTAGCTTGTGTCTCTCTCAAATGCTCAGATTTACAACCTCTCTCTAGGCTTTACTACCGACGTCACTCCTCTTGGGACGACCCCATCTCTCACCACACACTCCTCTCGGTGTACAAATGTATTACAAATTGTATCCTCATAATGAAATCTCTATACAATAATTTGTTCTCTAATATGGATGAGAACACAATGAAAGCTCACTCTCAATGTCACAAATCCACAATCCTAAATTATACTATGTATGAAATACAATAAGCTCAATGGTTGTGTGTGAACAAAGAGAAAATCAAATATCCTAAATTATACTATGTATGAAATACAATAAGCTCAATGGTTGTGTGTGAACAAAGAGAAAATCAAATATAAACTCAATGTAAACACTATACAATAAGCTCAATGGTTGTGTGTGAACAAAGAGAAAATCAAATATAAACTCAATGTAAACACTAGCTTCATGAAGATGACAAACAACAAATAATTAATGCAAAGCTAGTATTGAGTTTAGAAAATCTTCTCTGAAAAACAAGATGGAGAGATGGAGATTGAAGCTCAAACTATGAAGATGATCTCCTCCACTTGTGAAAACTTCTTCACAAACCAAACAAATACTAAAACAAACTTAAACAGATCTTAAACTCTTATAAACTTGTTTTAAACCTTTCTTTTTAGTTGTTCAAAATAGTTATGATAAAGGGGTATATATAGGACGAAAAACAAAAACCAAGAAAACCCAGTAAAAAGATAAAAAAACAGAAAGTTAAAAAAACTAGTTGTTACAGACATCAGTCGACTAATATTGTTCATCAGTCGATTGATAAGCTGACCGTTACATGCAACTAGCAGCTCATCAGCCGACTGAAGACATCATCAGTCGACTAATGAGTTCATCAGTCGACTGATAGTTTATCAGACGTAAAAACAAAAACTTTTGACAATTCCAGGTGAGTTCATCAGTCGACTGAACCCTTGCATCAGTCGACTGATAACACATTATCAGCCTGTTTTAAATAGTAA